TCACTATTAAATATTAATTTTTTTTCAGTATGCCAAGTTCCACGAGTCAATAAAAGTACAAACAATAGTGACCAGCAGATGGTGTAATGGCTATGTCGCCCATGTGGGTGACGGTGGTTTGAGTCCTGGACCCGGTGACTTAGACTCGTGCAGGGCACATGTGCATGCATGCCCAAGATCCTGAGAGGAGAATGGAGGAGAAGGGATTGCAGCATGACCTTACCCCCTGGAGGGTGATTTCTCGCTTTCTGTTTCTCTGTTTCTCTTTCTGGTGAGCACACACACGATATAGCCAAAACCTCTCCAAAAAAAAAAAAAAAAAAGAGAAGTGATTATACAAAGTAGTTTTATGAGTATGAAAGTAAATAATAACTACACCTATTGAGGATTTTTTATTTTGCTTCATTTTGTTTTGTAGGGTAGAGTGCTTTCTGGGCGTATGCTTATTTTATAATCTCCATCACAGCACAATAATCTATTCAAGTCATGCTGCCTGACCCATAATAACAAACACTCATCAAATTCCCAGAAAAAATGAGAGATGAGAAGAGGAAGGAGAGGTCAATGGTTCCTCACTAATTAGAACTTCTGTGGGTGTGAGAGTATTGGCAATGGGTACCACAAATATGTACTTGCAGCCAGAGGAAGGGAACTTGACTCAGGTCTAGGAAGAGGTGAAAGAGAGTTATAAATGATTGTGCAACTTCCTGGCTGGTAAGAGTTTATTACTTTAGCTATATGGACCTTTGCCATCCTTTGGACTCCCTTCACACATGGGAAGTTCTATGCACGGTCCACTCCACTGCCAGGACTGCAGAAGCCCCTCACCTGCCCCTCTTCTGCAGCTGTGTAAGGTGTGCTTGATTCATGATACCAGTGACCCATACTCTACCATATTACCTCAACAAGGTGCTGATGTTTGTTTGCCTTGGTTCAGTGGCATGTATGTGAAACCAGTTAACAAATGATAACAGACCTGCTCATTTTGAATGCTAATAAACACAGATGTTAAGTAGATACTAAGCATTTATTTGCTTACTTTGTTAAAATTAACTCAATGTCTGTAATATTAAAATAGGTAACCCATTTCCAAAGAGTAAATTGTGTTGACTTAGAGTGTCTTCTGTTAACTAATCAAATTTGGCTAAAGTCAATTCTATTTACTCCCATAACTCATAAATTACTGAATTCTAGTGCTCTTTTTTTGAAAATAAATGATTTTATTTATTTATTTTTTTTAGCGAGATTTTTTTTATGGGATGTGTTGACTCACCAGAGAGACAGAGAGAGATAGAAAGACAGAAACAGAATATACACAAATGATCTGGGTGCTACAGGGGGATGACCATAGTGCAATCCCTCTCCTTCAGTATCTTCTGGGGATCTGGGGCTTGCACTCACACACGTCTGGAATGAGTTTTAAGTTGCTGGGTCCAGGACTCGAACCACGGTTGACTACATGGAAGTCCGGGGACATAACCATCATGCCATCTGCTGGACCCATGATTTGTTTTAAATTTAGAATGTATTAAAAATTTTTAAGGTCTTTAAGAATGATATAAACACAATTAAAGAGAGTAAGTTAGTTTTGCAAGGAAGTTATAAACTATGTTCATTGAGCACTAAAATATTTTAGTTGATTTTATAATCTCAAAAAAAGTTTCTAGATTCTAACAGTGTAATAAACGTATAACAAAAACACTTCAAATTTGCCTTGTACCCCAGAGTCTTAGTGAAGTGACTAGAGTCTTACAGATTTGTTGACTGATATCATTCTAGTGGAGTAGAATGACCTGAAACAACTGGAGCTTAATGTACAAATCTCAGATCATTTGTCTATATTCTATGCTCTATAAGCACTATGGATATTGTTATTAATTATTAGCTAATATAGAGGAAAAACCTTGGACAGTGCTGATAGTTCTATTTGTCTTTTTACTCAAATATATATATATATATAATAAATATTTTAATTTTATTTACTCATTTACTTATTTCATTTTGACCAGAGAGTCACACACACATAGAGAGAAAGAAAGTGAGAAAGCAAGCCACAAGGTCCAGGACTTGAACCATAGTTGGCCATATGGAAATATCCAGCGCCTTAACCACCACACCACCTGCTGGTCCCATACTCAAAAGTATTTTAATGGTTAGCCTTAACCTTAAGGTGTGCTATGTATTAAAAAAAATAAATTTCTGGGACCAGCAGTTAGCATAATGGCTATGTCACTGGACTCCCACATAGTTGACTGCAGTTCGAGTCTCCGACCCTGTGGCTTAAAAACTCACACTGGGCGTGTGTGCATGCGTGCCCAAGATCCTGAGAGGAGAATGGAGGAGAAGGGATTGCGGCATGGCCATCCTTCCTGGGGGGTGATTTCTCACTTTCTGTCTCTCTGTCTCTGTCTTTCTGGTGAGCACATGTGCCCTATAGCAAAAACTTCTCAAATAAATAAATAAATAAATCTCTGAGAATCCACATTTGATGAACTGTGTCTAAACCACTATACTGCTACTAAAGTTGGAGTTTTAATAAGGTGCTATGCAATTTAAAAAGTCCAACTAATATCGTGTATTTCCAGCTGTTTGTTAAATTTTTGGAGGTGGACCACTGGATCTCTGATTAAACCATAGCAGAAAAGAGAGAGAGCAAGAAAGAGAATCAGGAGCGGTGATGACAAACTCAGGAGAAGGACAGATGAGAAAAGTAATATTTCAGGAAATAATCTCAAGGTCATAGAGAAAATAAATTGATTACAGTATTAAAGTTTTTGCCATAGGCATGAACTTGCTGGAGAGACAGAAAGAGACAGTGAGAGTGAAAGGAAGATATCACTCCCCAGAGGGGATGGCCACACCACAGTCCCTTCTCCATTCTCCTTCTGGGATTTTGGGCACACATGCACATGTGCCTGCTGTGAGTTTCAAGCCACCAAATCTGAGACTCAAACTGTGCTTGGCCATGTGGGAGGCCAGTGCTTTAACCACTATCCCACCTGCTGGCCCCATAGTTTTACTTTGTTTAACAAGCCTCCATGTGGCCAAAGATTGAGTAGTCAATGTGCCATCACTGAAAATATTTTTTCAGCCCTGAAGGCCATCTATCACCCTTTAAATTTGCAATCAATGGTTTTCTTGTCCTTTAAATAAATTATGGCATTCTTTTTATCATATTTTTATTATGATTATTTATACATTCAATCACTATACGTCATGTAGTTTGTAAAGAGAGTTTACCCAGCATTATATACATCTCAGTCTAGTTGAGAATATTATACACATGCTCATCAACGAATAACAAACCGTATCTATTTCCCACAAATATCTTCTCTCTCCTTATTTTTCTCCTAATTTCCTTTCCTGCACCCTTCCCCTCCCACACTCTCCTTCCACTTTGTCTCAAGTGTCCACAACAATTTTTAATGCTTTTATGTCCTGCAGTCTTTCCGTCTCTGCCATAGAGTGCTGACAGTCTGTATCTGTTAAGTGGAGACATTCTTGAGACTAGGTTCACATTACTTTGCTACAGGGAAGCAATTCGCTAGAAGGAAAATGAGACAGAAGACAGAATGTGACTTTATTTTCAAGTGATTAACCCCAAAAAAGAGTCACGGATCATGAGGACCCTGCCCTTTTACCACATTGGTAAATGCCGTATCCCACGTCAGCTCACTCTGCCTTCTTCAAACTACAAATTAGATCTGTGAAGTTTTCTCTTGGGCCTTTAACAGTTATTCTAAACTTAGAATACTTAGATTAAAAGCTCCTAAAAACATGTTGAGAGAGAGAGACAGAGAGCCGGAACCTCTGACAGAGTCTTTGTTTAAATTTGCTTGAGCACAGTTGTGAGTTTATCTTTGAAAAATCAAGATTTATTTAACCTCTGAAGATCAATTAAGTGCATGAACAGAATTAAGAAAATACCTTATTATTATTTCAGTATATTTAGGTACCATATTGGGTAAAATTAGATAATCATTTTTTTGTCTTGAAGTCACTAGGCAAATGAGAGAAGGAAACTTTCAATTTCATAAAGAGTAATTATAAACTATCTTGACCTAATACCATTTTAGCTAAAGACTACTTTCCCACCAGCACTGACAAAAGAAAATAATATTCATTCTCGCCACTTTATTTTTTTCCAACATGTAAAAGCCTGCAATAGTACGTTGAATAAAAGTGTCGTGGAAGACAAATAATTTAACCAAGTGACTCGATTTTCTGGCTCAATGGCACTTAGTGATAAAGTTCTGTCTAAAGATGTATAAGTGGAAAGATGCTTAGTGGGACTTGTCACTGTTGTTTCATGATGGGACAGACATTTCCTATCACCATAAAAATTGTGCTCTTTTCCTCCTTCTTTCATTGTTCTCCTGACAGAGGCTGACACAGAATTCCTAGAGGGGCTGCAGACATCTTGCAAGTATTAAAAGCCAGGGTAAGTAAAATCCACCTGAGAATCAAGGAGCCTGGATGGTTGTGGCACTGAGAGACTATGATAGCAGCCTTCCATTTCCTGTCTCTGCACTGCTTTCACAATTAGAAATACTCTAGGGACCAGCAGTTAGCGTAATGGTTATGTCGCTGGACTCCCACGTAGTCGACTGCGGTTCGAGTTCCGGACCTGGCAGCTTAAACTGCGTGCATGCCCAAGATCCCGAGAGGAGAGTGGAGAAGGGATTGTGGTGTGGCCATCCCCCATGGGATGGCTTTCTGTCTCTCTGTCTCTCTCTATCTTTCTGGCGAGCGCACATGCCCTATAGCAAAAACCTCTTCAAAAAAAAAAAAAAGTACTCTAGAGAATCTAGAGAATGTGGTCACTGAAACTCAGAACATGCTACTTAATTTTCCCTTCTGTAATATGGGTGTGGATTTAGAACTCTGACAGATTTTTTTTATTTGAGATTTAGCATATGTAAAAATACGTATAGTTATACATTTGTATATATAAATATGAATGTATGACATATGTCTACACATCTGTCCATACACATAAATATATTTTTTTGACTTGTGATTCTTCTTCCTTGTTTAGCCACTCATATTTGGATCAATTTTCTTATGTTCGCTTCTTGACAGTCTCATGACCTACATTAAGCAAATTTAAATGTTATTTATGTCAGGCAAAAATTAAGTGTCACTATCCTCTTACCAAGAAGTCTACATAGATCTTTAATGTACGTATGTTTAAATGTTAGTGTCTTGGGCTGAGGAAATGGTTTGTATGAAGAGACATATTTTACAGTGGTAGGCCGATAATATCAAGCAGGGGCAAACATGTTTGGAAATAGTAAAAGTTAATATTAGTGATAAATGGGATTTTGCCAAGGACCCATGCCGAGTAATGTCTTGAAGTTACATAGAGCCATTTGTTCTATGACAAAATTTACCCAGTGAGCAAAACGGAATGAAAGAAAATTGTTGTCTTTAATATGATAACAAACATAGAAAAAAATGAAACCTACATACTTGAACAAAAGTGAGGAAATTATTTCTGAAATAATATGTAAAACTCATCCACTGACAGTAACAAGTGCTACGTGCATGACGATTTAAGACGACCATGGTTGATTAAGTGTGCATTTCTAATATGAAACCACTGTGTTCTTTTTTTCTTCATTTTTTTTTTTTTACTTGAAATTCTGAGACTTGCGTTTTTCTTCATACAGGTACCAATTGGTCAGATTTTTGCTACAGGTTTTCATGCAGCCAGCTAATATATTGATTTGCTAATTTATAACCACTATTAAGTTGTAGAAGAGAAATTATTCCATGGAATCCATCCTCAATGTGATCAAGGATCACCTGGACGCCAGCGTTCCCAAGTCGGGTGACGTACATGAGTCCGTCATCCCGAAGGACGTCATACTGACAGGTGATGACGTAGGTCTGGGGTAAACCACGCAGCTTGCTGTCATCAGCCAGCAGGGGGGCCGCCCTCACATCTAGGAACCCTGGATACTTCTTGGCCAGCTCAGGGCTACCCTGACGTGGACTGCTATAAACGTGGCCTTTCTTAAACCTCTCTGGGAGCAAGGAACTCCAGTTAACGAACTTGAACAGATGACTGGATTCCACAGGAACGTGTTGGTTGGAAAACATGGCTTTCTCCAGTGACCTGTCCGTGGTAAAGTATTCGCTCCAGAACCTGACCATGAATAATTTGGACAAAAATGGATAATATGGGTTTTCCCGATATGATGGTAAATCCAGATCAAGAGTCTGAAGGGCAGGATATATTAAGGACTGGGTCTTCAGTTTGATCTTGATATCTGGATCCTCTAAGAGCTGAGAAAAAAAAAAAGTGAATATGTTACTTAAATCGATTACTTTAATTAAAAATTAAAATAATCAGGACAGCTGGTCATTAATGTAGTTTCTTGTATGATTTGAGTCCTGAACCCTGTAACTTAAGAAACACATGACTTGTTCATGCATGTCCAAAATCTTGAGAAGGGAATGGAGGAAAAGGGATTGCAGTTTGGCCATTCCTCCTTCTTGGGGGTTAGGGGAGGATTTCTCACTTTACTTTCTCCTTCTCTCTCTGACTCTTTCTGGGGAGTTTATGCACCCTGTAGTAAATTTTAAAAGAAAATTAAAATAACCGCACTATAAAAATTGTATTTTAAAATTAAAATTTTTTAAAAATCACAATATAACTTATGGAATCTTGATAAATATCTCCATGTTAAAATATTTTAGTTTAAAATAAACTAGTACTAGATGTTCATGAATTAAATGTAAAAGGTATCATTTTTAAAAATCAGTATGATAATGGACCAGTAGGTGGCATGGTGGTTAAGGCATCAGATCCCACATGACTGACTGACAGGTTTAAAACCCAGACCTGGAGGCTTGCAAATAATTCCAGGTATGTGTGTGTGTGTGCCCAAAATCCCAGGAGGAAAATGGGCGAGAAGGGATTACAGCATGGCCATTACATCTGGGGGGTTATTTTCTCACTTTCCCTCTCTCTTTCTCCACCAAACGCATAAGCCTTATTTTAAAAAGAAAAAATCAGTAAGATTTTCTTCATGGATCATGAAAAAGAATCTTTTATTATAATGTGGGCTTCGTAATTATGTAACCCAGAATAGAATAAAGCACGGAATATATTTGACCCTTGGTCTCACTCTTAAGCATATTATATGTTCCTCGATATATTAATATATCTTGAGATACAGGGAATTATATTTCTTTGTAAGCTCCAATACTAAGGATGTATCAGACTTTGGGTAAACTTACATCATCTGGAACTACTATTTTTAAAATTTTTGAGCACTGTTCTGTCTGTTGTATGTCTAGTTTTTTGTTCTTTATCCAGAAACAATAGAATTTTGCATTTTTTTTCCAAGTTGAATTTCCTATAGTGTGCTTCTGCCACAGGCACATAAATTATTATTTTACTAGTCAGAAATTATATACTAAATACCAGTGGTGTTTTTTTTTTTTTGCCATCCATAAGGCGCATTTACTCACTGGAAAAAAATAAAAATAAAAAAATAAATTAAAAAGACAAAAAACAGAGAAAGGAAAAGAGAAATCACCCTCCAGGGAGGATGGCCACACCATGATCTCTTCTCCTTCACTCTCGGGATCTTGGCCACACACTCACATGCATCTGTTGTGATTGTTCAGACCATTAAATCTGGAGCTTGGACTGTAGTCAGCCATATGGGAGTCCAGTGACTTAGCCACCATACTACCTGCTGGCCCAAGTTTGTTGATTTATTTATTTTTTTAACGAGTAATGTTTGGATAAATTATTTGAGATTTTCAAGTATGTTCAAAACTAACAATTTGATTTTGCATGTTTCTGAAACACTGGTTCACTCAAGGTCAAATTATTGTCAGTACATTGTGTTCCTACTTTTCAAACTCTGCTCTCAGTATTATGGACAATTTTTTTGATCTTTCATTCAATTTGCTATATTGTTGTATTCTGGTCAATGTATGAACAAATTCTCACACTGGACCCTTAATATTTATGGTTAATGTTTTTATTTTTTTCTGGGCTTTTGTTTCTTTTTCAACATCTTATATCAATTTTTATAGTTTCTCTTTCAAATAACTACTAAATTTTAAAATTTATTTGTATTCACATTAAATGCACATCAAAAAAATGTTTTAAGGTTCTTTGCTATAAGGTACTTGCATTCACTGGAAAGAGACAGAGACAGTGAGAATGAAAGTGAGAAATCACCCTCTGGGGGAATGGCCATGACATAATTCCTTCTCCTCCATTCTCCTCCTGGATTTTGCCATGCAAGCATGCACACGAGCCTAACAGAATTTTCAAGCAGCCATGTCTAGGACTCAGACTGGGGTTGGCCATGTGAGAGTGCTGTGCTTAATCACTATGCCATATGCTGGTCATGATTAAAACATTTTTAAATGATAACAAAATCGGAGTATAGGTGATTTTTTTTTCTTGTTTCCTTCTCCATATGTGTACCTGGTTGTCTTCAACTCTCAACTCAATATTGTAATGAAAAATTATTTTATGTAATAACTTGTAACCTAGAAACATGTTGCCTGCTCTTAGTCATGACCTACATTTGCTCCTGATAAGTATATATTCACATATTATGTGTGTGTATATATCACATGCATGTGTGTGTGTGTATACACACACACACACACACCTTCAAAAAGTTTGTGGAAAACGCATAGTATGAAAAACTATGTATAGATTTTTCAGATTTGTTTACACTAAAACAAACATGTTTTTAATTCTTTTTTTGAACATTTTGAAGCACTACGTGCACTGTAATATTCTGAATATGTATTTTTGAATATATATATCTTATATATATATTTAAATATCTATTTCAATATTTTCAAAATTTATTTCAATTATATTCAAATATATATAATTCAAATATATTCAAATACATATTTTTGAATTTTTTTTTTGAGAGGTTTTCGCTATAGGGCGCGTGCGCTCGCCAAACAGAGAGGGACACAGAGACAGAAAGTGAGAAATCACCCCCAAGAGGGGATGGTCACACTGCAATCCCTTCTCCTCCATTCTCCTCTTGGGATCTTGGGCATGCATGCACACGTGCCTGGCATGAGTTTTAAGCCACCGGGTCCGGGACGCGAACCGCGGTCGACTACGTGGGAGTCCAGCAACATAGCCATTACGCTAACTGCTGGTTTCCAATATTTTTGAATATATATTCAAAATATTTATAATAACCTGATTTCCTAATTTTGGTGATTGCTATCATTCATAGCTTTTTTTTGTTCATTTGTTCAAAAGGCCAGCGCAGTGACAAGAAAACTATGTTGGCATTTTAAATAAAAATGAAATAAGGTTTCAATGATGAAGTTGTTATTCTCAACATTCTCTACATAAGAAAATACTATTGATACTATATTATGTAAAATCTATAAGTAAAATATTCTTAAAAATAAGCAAGGATAAAGAGATAATACACAAAAATGCTAAGCCTCTTACCTGCTGACACACAGCTGCAGCCAAATTCCCTCCAGCACTATCTCCAGAAACACCAACTCTCTCAGGATCTATACCATAACTTTCAAGAATTTGGGGGTGTAAAAACCATTTTAATGCCGTGTAAGTGTCTTCAAATTGAACTGGAAAATGAAACTTTGGAGCTGATCTGTAGCTGTAGATAGAAAAACATTGTTTCCTTAATCAATTAATTTTAACTCACATACCAAACACAAGCCATGAACTTCCAAACCAAAATCAAAGATCAATTTTATCAGTATGGTATCTAGATGTTTTCTGTTGGTTGGAAGATATGTTTCCTAACCATGAGATCTTGCTGCTTCTAGTAAACATTGTCATTGCAATAAACAAAATTAAATGTTTAAATGCTAAACTTGGTTCAATCTTGGGGAAAGCCTCTCTAGCTGTTATTGTTTCCTTGCTAATAATTCTTCCAGAATAAGATTTTTGTAATTGCTGCATTCTGTTTTAGCAGCAAGTTATTATTATTACTTATTTGTATCTCCACAATTACTTTTTAAAACTTAGCAAAATATTTCTACTGGGCATATTTTCAAAATATGACACATTAATCGATAAGTTCTGTATTTTCTTAGTTTTAGGTTTAAGTACCTTCTCATAGACAGTGTGCTCTATAGAAATTCAACCTTTTTTTTCTATTCCTTAGAAAGTGCTCTGGAATGTAACTTGAGATATGGTCTATCTTCCATGGTTAATTGGGCAAAAGTTGTTTTTATTGACAGATTACTAATGCTAGACACCATTTCTAGCACTACAAATGTAATACTTAATCCTTTCTGTCAATACTACGCTATGCAAACTATTACTATTAGAAGTTAAATCTCTTAAAGGTCTTGTGTTTTCCTATATGCTGAGCCACCATTTTATCTCATCCCTCTTGTTCCAAAGACTTCCTCGTTATTACTCCGCTAATTAAGGGAAATGGAAATACAGAAGTGGTATTTATACCCGAGTGATAGTATAGGTTAATTTCACTTGAAGAACTTTTCAACTTTCTGGCCTTTGTTGCTTCTTGATTTATGCAATATGTCTTTTCTCTCTCTTGATAGACTGGGTAGCTTCTGACATCAGATTTCTTTGTCTGTGTTCTGGGTCACTGGTGACACGGGTTTATTTTTTGGTGTGATACAACATTCAATATAGTTGAGTGTGTATGTTATGTAAGGCATTTGGCCTAGAATCAAACTAATACAGCACCTACTTGGTTGCTATAACAATTGCATCCAGTCTGTCTGCTGTCATTCTTGATAAGCGGTCATAATTAATCATAGCTAAAATGAAAGAAAAAATTCTGGGATTATTAATGAGAATTGAAAAACGGTACTGTTGAAGAGAGTGCACAGTGATGACTGCATTTCTTCCGTTTACTTTAAAACACTACATTAAAACAATCTAACACGAGGCTCATCTTGATGTGAATTATTCTTCTCAGTGATCCTTTCGTTTGTCCATGATCAGCTGGCTTTTGTCTTCTCCAAAGTTCTACATCAGCTATTCCAAACTAGCTTAGTTTAGCTGTTTATTACGTGACCGGCATGTAGCCTAGGGAGGTAAACTTTTAGACATGTTCTCTGGCTTCAAGGAGCTCACATCTGTGAAGGGTGGGCAGAGATACATATCAGAGATAATGTCAAGGACATCAACACAAAAACTCACTGCAGGTAAAGTAGTATTGAGGTAGAGGGGAGGTCCCTTGTTAATCAGCCAGGGGTACTGGGAAGAATCTACGGAAAAAATTTGAGCTGACTAGAGACTTAAAGATTGTGTAGATATTTTATAGAGGTGGTGAGTGTGTGTGTGTGTGTGTGTGCATATATGTGTCTGGTAGGTTAGCACTCATGCCTGGACAGCTTTAGCAAAATACTGTGAAAAGCAAAACTTTGAGCAGTGAAGCCTATTTGAAAGACAAACATGGTAGACATCTTTTTTTAGAAGTAAAACTTCATCAGCAGCAGATGTTCATACTTTTTATTCATAAAAACAGTAAGGTAGCATTCCCTCAAGTATCTTTATATTTCAAATGCCAAAAATCTCTCCACTATGGAGGACTCCCTGTCCCTAGCATGACCTTTGAGGCTGTGCTTCCCCAGACATCATCCCTACTTCTTCAATATTCTGCTTGCCCTCGGTGCTTTCTAAATTTAAGTTTACAAAGTTATGCTTCTCTCACACTGAAATACAAAAATACAATACTCTCTATCATGTCTGATTTTCCTTTTTGTTTGATTCCCATTTTTCCCCCTCTTCAATGAAGCTTCTTGAAAGACAATAGTCACTACTTTAATTTCCTCATCCATCCTTCACTATTCAGCCATCGTAACTGACTTAACATCCTGCCACTCTCGAATTTTTGCCCTCGCACACTCAATACAAAGACCCACATCCATAAAACATTCTCTTCTCTTAATATTCTAGTGTCCCTCGAATATTTGGTACTGCTAACTCCATTTATTTTCTTGATATTCTCTTCTCTCTTGACTTTCCTTATATCTCTGGCCATTTTTAGTCACCTAGATGGTCTCCTCTTCCCTCAACGTGTGAAAATAGTTTCATGCCAACAGTCTCTAAGCCCCAACTTACACCACTGGTGGTCAGAACCCCTTTTAGACCTAGACAAATGGGAGCCTAGCCATGAGCATCACACTTAGAAATGCCTGGCGTTCCTCTGGCTGCCTGCTTCACAACAGGGTACAGAGCCGGTAGAGCCAAGGGTATGAAATTTCTCCTCTGGGCCACACTCCCACTACGCTGGACCTTGAGCCTTGAACAATTTTCTCCTTTTTTCTGTTGTCCTGTTCATTATAATAGACAACATAAGAATAAGGTACTAAATGTCTCCTTTAAACACAAAAATTAAAGTATTTTCTGGAGTGCATTTTGATCTTAGAAAGTGATAAAAATATATTATTGGAGAAAAAAAGAAAAGGGAAAAGATAATCCATTATTTATTTCTAGAAAGTCCTTTTTTTTTGTCAAGAAAGAGACAATTTGAAGAGAGTAGACTATGCCTTAACATTTAATTTTAATAAATTTAATAAGTAAAAACTTTGTAATTATTTTCACCTTTACCTAGAGACATTAAGAACACATATTTGGAATTTCAGTTTTGCTTTGATGGATAAATAAGACATTTCCAGAAGTATGTTGGAAAGCTCAAAATTCAGAGAGAATTTTATATTTGTGGAGAAGCCTGGTCTTTCTCCTGTAAACTTTGTAAGTTCTGTAAGAGAGTAGTAAAATCATTCCTGGAATTTTTCTAAAAAGATGTTTTAAATTCAAATTCTTAATGAACTTTGTTTGTTTTACTGTGGGACACAGAAGGAGAAGGAAGGTGAGAAAGCACCTCCTGCCCACAGGGGAGATGACCATGCCACAATCCATTCTCCTTTCAGGATTTTTAGGCATGCATGCACACGTGCCCTGTGGGTTTTCAAGTGGCCATGTGGGATCCAGCTGCTTTAACCGCTGTTCCACCTGCTGGTTCCTTAATAAACCTTTATGTTGACTGAGATTTCAAAAGTTTTACTAATTCACATTTTTTTAATGAAATACATTTCAGAAGCAAGATATTTGGTTTGTAGATCATAATATGAGAGTATTCAAAGTAATATAAAAATAAAACGAAGTGGATTTTCTAGCAAGTCACACTTACCATTACTAGCAAAACACCAGCCACCACCATGGATATAAAATACGCCCCTTCTTAATGATTCTGGCTTCCGTTTGGGCACATATACACGGACAGGAACATTGTTAAATGTAGTATCTTTCACAGTTACATTGTCATCTGATACTGGTGAAACATTTAGAAAACTTGACAAGAAGATTGTAAATTCTGCAAAGTGGACTAGTCCCAGCATCTCAGCCAAGAGGAACTAAAATAAAATACACACATGTACACAAAAACTTTGTAAGTGTCAGAAATTATTCTAAACAAAGAAAGGTTCACTATATCCCATATGATCCAAATGGTCTTAAATTAAATTTCCTCAGAAAGCTCTGTCATGATGCCACCAGGAGACATAGAAGTTCATACGTCATAATTATAAGAATCACCCTAAGTAAAACTAACTCTCATTTATGCATCACTAAGTAGAAATACTATTACAGATTTATAATTCCGTGCTAAGTTGCAATGCCAACCAGAACCAGATAAATTACTCATCCCCGAAAAGCTCAAAACCAACATGTGGTGGGGTGGTTAAGGTGCTGGATGCCACATGGCTGACCACAGTTTAAGCCCTGGACACAACAGCTTGAGAATCACATTGCGTGTCTGTGTACATGCCCAAAACCCCAAGAAAAAGACGGAGGAGAAAGGGTTGTGGCAAAGCCTTCTCCTTGAGTGGCTGATTTTTCACATTTCCTCTTATTATCTCTCTGTGTCTCTTTCCAGATAGCAAAGGAAAAAAAAAATTCACACCTGAATGACAGACATGAGTTATAATATGTCTTGTTGTAGTTGTGGACAATGTTTTTGAGATAATTACAAAGTGAGAGATGAAAAAGAGATTTGGGACTTGAACTGGGACTTCAAAGAAAAGTATACATTAGACAATAAACTGAGCAGAAAGGCTTTCGGACAGATTCCATAAACTTATCCTGAATAAAATAAAAAATGTGATGATTGAAAAGTCTGGACAGGCCTCATAACCTGGTGGTTAAGGGAGCCATGTATCATATGACCAGCCACGTGACTGGAGTCTTTGCCTATTGCATTAAAAAAGAAAAGGAAAAACAAACAAACAATACCACCTGCATGTGTGTGTGTGCCCCAAATTCTAACAGAATGGAGGAAAGGGACTGCAGTGTGATCACACCTCACAGGAGGGTGGTTTCTGCTTCTTTCTTTCTGTTTCTGATTTTCTGTGGTGAACATTGTGGTCTCTGGCAAACTAAAAAAGGAAAAAGTATAGGTCTTTGCTATGGTTATATTTTTACCTTTTATCACTATTTTTTTTTTTGAGAGAGAGATTTTCACCATAGGGTGCGTGCGCTCGCCAGACAGACAGAGAAGACAGAAAGCGAGAAATCACCCCCTAGGGGGGATGGTCACGCCACAATCCCTTCTCCTCCATTCTCCTCTCGGGATCTTGGGCACGCACGCACACGCGCCTAGCGTGAGTTTTAAGCCACCGGGTCCGGGACGCAAACCGCGGTCAACTACGTGGGAGTCCAGCGACATAGCCATAATGCTAACTGCTGGTTCCCACCTTTTATCACTTTAAACTCCAATCTGTTCTCCAAATTTTATTAAAATGATGGTAAATATTGGGGCCAGTGGGTGTCATGGTGGTTGAGCTCTGAACTCCCACATGACCGACTGTGATTGAGTCCCGGACTTGACAGCTTTCTCTCTCTCTCTCTCTCTCTCTCTCTCTCTCTGTCTCACTGTTTCTCTTTGGTGAATGCACGAGCCCTATAGCAAATTAAAAAATAATAATAAAGTTTAAATAAAATAAACTTTAAAAAGAAGTAATGCTGAAGAACTTATCTTAATACGGTTATATTAAGACAGAGAAATGTATTCAGATAGGTTTCTAAAATAATATTTTACCAGGAATAGAGATATTTCATAATGACAAAAAGTTCTGTTCTGCAAGACAACTTAGCAGTCTTAAATGTATATGCCCATAGTAACAGTTTTATAATACCTGAAACAAGAACTGAAACAAATAAAAAGAGAAATATATTTCAAAAGTATTCCTTAGAGATTAACACTCCTAATCTCACTCATTGATAGAACAAGTAAACAAAATATTAGGAAGTATATAGAAAATTCAGTTTCTTTTACAACCTCTGTAAGTTATAGATGAAGTCAGAATGGTCGTTAAACTGAACTGAATTGGGATCAACAGATGGCATAGCAGTTACATCACTGGACTCTCACATGACCTACTGCGGTCCAAGTCCTATACCCAATGGCTTGAAAATCACGTGGGCATGAATGTGTGCATGCATGCGCAAGGTCCTGGGAGGAGAATAGAGGAGAAAGGATTGTGGTGCAGCCATTCCCCCCAGGGGGTGATTTCTCGCTTTCTCTCTCACTGTGTATCTCTCTCTCTCTCGCTCTTTCTCTCCTGAAAGTACACATGCCCTAAGGCAAAAATCTCTTTAAAAAATTAGTTGCATAAACGTACATTTAAAATGAATTCAGACTTAACACAAAACTGATTTGCATACACAGCTCAATATTTTTATTATTGTTCTGCAAGAATCATCACAGATATTTTTACTTGGGATAATTTATCAGAAATGTATCACAATGTGCCACAGCACTTGAAGTACTCTCCACAATTCTCCTGGCAGTTGCATCAGCAGAATGATGCTTCTCAAAATGGAAAATTACCAAAAACTAGTTGCAATCTTGCATTCACCAGGAACAACTGATATCACTTTCAATAATGTCAGTTGAAAATGGAAGCCAGGCATGGGAATGCAGGCCTGTAACTGCAGCTTCTCTGGAGGCTGAAGCAGGATTGTGAGTTTCTGGCCAGCCAGGACAACATAGCAAGACCATGTCTCTAACAACAATAATATCAAGAAACAAAAACCAGAAATGAGCCAGAAAAATCTTATTGTCAGTAAAGTCATCCTATTAAAAAACTTTAATTATTTATTGTATTATATAAAATTACACCAACGTATTTTTTTTTACTCGTAGCTTTATGTTGTATTCATGTGTCACTATTATTCCTTTGTATTTTATTAACAGTAAAAAGCAGGAATAGCAGTTGGCATAATGGCTATGTCGCTGGACTCCCATGTAGTCGACCACGGTTCACGTCCCAGACCCAGTGGCTTAAATTCACGTCAGTGCGTGTGTGTGCATGTCCAAGATCCAAGAGGAGAACAGAGAAGAAGGGATTGTGGTAAGGTCATCTGCCCCGGGGGGTGATCTCTCATTTTCTGTTTCTGTCTTTCTGGTGAGCACATGCTCCCTATAGCAAAAACCTCTCCAAAAAATTTTAAAAAGAATAAAATGCTTGTAAAGGAAGTCTTTTTGTTTTAAGATCTTCTGCCGTACTTTCCCCCCCAACTTTTGAACAAGGCTCCTTGCACTTTTTGTGCTGAGTTTCACATGAGTCAGGAAATGGCCAGCCAAGCCACGTGCAACAGAGAAGATAAGTCTCACAGCTCAGCAGTGCAAGGCCAGCCATGGAGGGGAGGGTGCCCAGCAGCTGAAAGCTAGTTAAGGGAGGGGAGGTTGTCACTCACTCTGCAAATACAGGGAAATAGCTGGCTTTGGAGTTCCTTATGATGTACACTGCTGCAGGCTTCCCCCGTGCCATCCATCACCTGTGCCTACATGCTTATTGTACTGACCACTCCTGTTAGAAACCAACATAGCCTCTTACCTCCGCTCGAATCAGGGCCCAGAGCTTGCAGTCTGAACTCTGGGTCCGCCAGTGTACTAAACCTGAGCTCCACTCTCTGAGTGACGTTTGGTTTCTTGGCAGTCTGTTCTACAACACACATACTCGGTAGTCTGCTCTAATAAGCACTTTGACAGGCACGTAGGATGCTATGGGTGCACAGACTGGGAACTAGACTATTAAGATACTTCCCCAAAGGAACAAATATGCTAAGCAGGATCGCAAACTTCATCGTACCTATAAAAGCAGCCTAAGGGCCAGTTGGGGGCATTGTGGGTAAGGCGGCTGGATCCCACATGACTGACTGTGTGATCTTGGATTTGGCAACTTGAAAAACACTCTGGGCATGTGTTCATGCCCAAAATCCAGAAAAGAAAGATAGAGGCAGAAAGGAGGAAAAATAGAGGAAAAGGGATTGTGGCACGACCATTCCCCCATGGGGTGCTTTTTCGCTTTCCCCCATCTCTCTTTTTCTCTGTCTCTCTCTGGTGAGCACACGTGCCCTCTGATAAATTCAAAAAAATTTGAAAAGCTGTATGAGAGATGTTAGTTGCAAAAGTGAAGACATTGGGTATGTCCTTAGCCTTGCACAGGCATTCCGAAATTTGGCACCACAATCGCATTGTAATAGCTCAGCTAAAGGACTAATTGTGGAAGAGAAAGTTTGTTTTCTGAGCTTCCAAGGCAGAGTGAAAGAGGTCCCTGACTGATTGCGATAGTATCCCATCATGAAGTTAGCAGACAGCCTGGTGTCTCCCCAGTCCACTTTTTTTCTCTTCCACTTTCCCTTACACGTCATGGAGGCCCTGCTAGTGAGAGACTCTGGGGTGGGCGGTTAGTAACTGTTTCAAACTTGAATGGCTGTTGTGATATCCAACAGCTTTAGGGGAAATTGGCCTCTTGGTTTAGGAGGTTTGGTGTCCTTCCCTTCACCATAACAATAAAAGTAGCTTTATTTGGTGACTTCCTTGTTCTTCAATATGCTATAACAGTGTATATCATAAATGATTCCTTGATGGGTCAGTTTATTTTATTATATTATTTTCAACACATTTCTGGCTTCTCTATTCAGTAACAACTATTCAGTGTCCATAATGTCAGATATACCAAAACCTAATATTCTAAGTTTGTGAGCAAATGCCAGGAATTTTGGAAAGAAAGATCATTTTTAAAAGTTCATATGAATTAGGCAAGAAGCATATAAATCCAAGCTAGAATAATATTCCAAGCTCTTGGGAAAAGCCTTGACTTGCTATTGGAAACATAATCCTGGGTGCCTGCTAGGATCTCACAAAATTCAGATTGTAGTTTTTCTTTATATTCCAAAAGTATTTCCCTGAACAATTTTAGAAACCTTGTTGCAAGTGAAAATTTGAAAGTCATTGTCATTCCCTGTTTGGGTGAATGTACCTTCAGATACAAATGAAACTTTAAATATAAGAGGACAAATATTCTAGGATTCAGGCTGCTGGTAGGCTCCTGTGAAAGTGTTCTAGAGTCCTTGATCAGGTGCTCCAAATTGCTATTTTGCCACTTGCATACTTAAGGGAAATTGGCCCCTTTGTAGCGAATGCACCCCTATTCATTTCCTCAGAGCACTCTTCTATTCACAAAGTCTGTCATCTAATATCTTCTCTTAGATCATGTAGAAAGTATTTCCTTTCAGCTCCTTTGTATATGGCTGACTTGCATGAATCTTTTTTTAATTAATTCTTCTTTAAAGAATTGATCTTAAGTTACTAGAGACTTCCCAAGAAATGGTACTGAGATAGAAAGTGATTTGAGTCCCAGACCTGGTGTCTTGAGCACAATGGATGTGTGTGCATGCTTGCCCAATTGAAATAAATGCAAATTGGAACAAAGATCTAAACATAAGAAGGGAGATAAGAAAGAACTGGAAAAGACTATGGGTGAATTCTTCTATAGTCTTACAGTAGAGTAGCCCTTTTAAACTACAAATCAAATTATAGAAGACATCATTTAAAGTTCTTAAATGATCATTTTAAATATGAAAAATAGTAAAAAAAAATCCTTTATCATGGTCAATTTATTATATAAAGATAAGACAAATAGGGAACAAAAATTGCATTTCCCTAGTATAGAAACATAGAAAAGAACAAAAATCTAATTCATAATTGGACAAAGGAGACCCTGCCATTGTGGAGCATACCGCCAAGGTGTTGTGTTTTATAGGCTAGGATTGTGTGGGAGACCCAGTTTCAATTCTGGTCACCCTAAAGGGTGAGTGTGGTGGCACATGCCTGTAATTCCAGCGACTTGGAGAGACTGAGGCAGGAAGATTTCAGCTTGAGGTATAGTAAGGCCCGGTCTGAAAGAGTCAGCCAGGCATGGTGGTCTAGACCTTTTCTACCAGCTATTTGGGAGGTTGAGGCAGAAGGATTGTGACATGACAAAACACTATCTTAATAAAATAGGGGCCAGCAGGTGGGATGGTAGTTAGGGGCACTGGACTCCAACATGCGTGACCACAGTTTGAGTCCTGGACCTGGCAGCTTGCTTTCTCACTTTCTCACTTTCACTCTATCTCTCTTACTCTGTCCCTCTCTGGTCAAATTCAAAATAAATAGATAAATAAAGTTAAAGAGAATAAGTATTATTTTTAAAAGCACTGAACAAAAGAGTTTTTCAAAATTCAAATAAAAAGAAATGCAAAAACTCTTTTTTGGGGGAGAGATTTGTTTTGCTATAGGGCACATGTGTTCACCAGACAGACAGAGAGAGACAGAGAAACAGAAAGTGTGAAATCGCCCTCCAGGGGGATGGCCATACCACAATCCCTTCTTCTCCATTCTCCTTTCGGAATCTTGGGCATGCATGCACATGCACCTGGCATTAGTTTAAGTCACTGGGTCTGGGACTTGAACCGTGGTCGAATACATGGGAGTCCAGTGACATAGCCATTATGCCAACTGCTGGTCCCGAAATGCAAAAGACTCTTAAACATTAAAGATTCTAAAAAAGCTAAACAAATGGTTCATAAAATGAATGGTTACATTGCTGGATTCCCACATAGTCAACCATGGTTCGAGTCCTGGACCCAGTGGCTTAAAACTCACACTGAGTGCATTTGTGTGTGTGCCCAAAGTCCCAAGAGGAGACTTGAGGAAAAGGGATTGCAGCATGGCCATCCTCCCAGGGAATGATTTCTTGCTTTCTGTCTCTCCAGCAAGTTCACACACCCTATCGCAAAAATCTCTCTTAAAAAAAAAACAAGAGATCTAAGAAGACTAGGTTGAGAACAGAATGGATAAAGTTAGAAATAGGAACAGAATTGTTTTGAATATTATATATCAGTGTTCTAAACTATATTTGTAAAAATAAATTTCTTTAAAATTAGTTTTTAAACATAGGATGGACTACATGGAAAGGTAGTAAGCTCTCTATTCTTTCTTTTTCCTCTCTCTATTTCTCTCTTTCTCTCTCTCTCTATGTGTGTGTGTGTGTGGGAGGGGGAGACTTGTAAAATCTTATCCAAAATGAAATCGAATTATAAATTCATTTTGGTGTAAACTTTTTTTCATAATACCCATTTTCCATGAACATTTTGAAGACCACTTGTGCATACATATATGCTTATATTTCTAAAAAGAGAGATACAGAGAGAGAGAGAGAGAGAAAATATTAATATTGTAGCGAGAGAGGTAGAAGAGAGAAACTGAGTCAGGTTGCAGATGAAGCAGTTGTATTGGAGACAGGCATTCTTCCCTAACTACCAACCACACCTCTCTTAGTTTACATCAGGCACTTTTAAAAGTTTGTTTATCCCTTCTAGGAGTGAGAAAGAGAGAGAGCCATTGCCCCAAACAGAGTCTGAATAACATGATTTACTCCAACTTTTACCGGATCATGGAGACACATGTGCCTTGCATGTTCCAATAGGCCTCTGGATCTGAACTCAGATGTGGGAAGTCTCTTGCAGTGCACTGTGTTGTACCACTGGGCTCCTCTCCAGTCCTAGCAGGTTTTTTTCAGTCAGCCAATGATATATTTTCATAAGAACTTACATGTCTATAGTATATGCCCCAAGTCCACTATTCATGCTTAAATGGCATAGATAATTATAAATCAGCTCAAACATATGACTTCTGACTTTTTAAGCAAAGTTTTAAATCACACATAGGCCAATGAAAACAAAAATCATTCTTTTGTTTATGGCTTTACTCCTACTAGAATGGATTATTTCATAAATATAACCTGAACAACTCTTCTTATATCTATTTCATTAGTGGTTGACTTTAGGGTCATTCAGAGATATAGAAAAGCCAGCAAAATTTGACAGTAGGAAGCCAAAGACATAAATCTAATTTCTTCAAAAATTCCAAAACTCTGGAAATCTTTCCACTCTTCGTGAATAAAATTTTTCACTTACCAAATATGCTGTTGTTCTCAAAAGTGTATTCAACAGGATTATTTTCCATGGCTCCTCAATACCATCTGGGAGGGGTGTATGAGTAGAATATGCTATGAAAATTACTAATATCAGAAGGCAAAAGAATTTTTTCCCCATATTGTCACTCTTCTGCTTCTTCAATAAGACAGTATTATACTTCATTTTAATACCTGAAATTAAATAGACAGTAAGTAAGCCCCACCCAAAACTATTACCTAACTTCATAGCCCAAAGTTTCTTTAGTAAAACTAGTTGTCACCTTGTGTCAAGTGCTGCTGATAAGAGCATAAGTTCCAGCCAGGATTGTGAAAAATATGTTCACCTGCTGCAAATTCTGCTAAAACTGCCAGGTAATCATTGGACAAAGATTTGTTGGTCTTCCACTTGAAGAGGACTGCATTAATACTCTGAGATTCTGGAAAATGTAGTGGAACCATGTGCCCCTTAGAGGAGGAGAACTAAAATATTTATAAAAAGGTTTTGATACATTTTAGTAACATGTGTTTATATGTATTATATATTTAATAAGAGTCAACAAGTATGTGCACATTGAGTCCTTTAAGTGCTAGGTACTGACTGGAGTGGTTTGTAGTGAATAACAGAAAGCTTTGCAGCAAAGGAGGTAATTTTAGATCATGTCTTAGAAATGCTTATTATTACGTGGACTGAAGAAAGATAAAGTTTACGATTGTAAACTAAAAGACGTTGAAGTCAACTTTGTAAGTCCAAATTTAAAAGTGCATTAATCAGCTTAATATATAACTTTCTTCTGTTTTAAATTCTACCTTGCTTAGTGTAAAACCCTTATTGATATATTATTGAACAACTAGGTGCGTCCTTAAGCTCTTTCTGCTGATTTTAATGTAAAATTCATCTTCTGCTTCTGCTTCTACTTTCTGAAACAGCAACAAAAATATATTGGATAACAGTTGTTTTCTATGTTGTCAAGAGAACTCTGGAATGAAGGTGGATGGTATAAATGGAAAATGTTCAATTTTGAGCAGCACTTGCTCAGGAAAAAATGAAAACTTAAAGCTGTGGTTCACTATAGCACTTTAGACACTAAGTTTCTTAAAGAACCATGACCTTTTGGTAACCCTGCGGATCCTGACCTAAATCAACCCCCAGACCCTTTTCAGACTAATGATCTATGGAGTTTGTGTATGCCAACTGGGTACAGAGATTGATATTCATCTGTGCTATGTGGAGAGCTAGTTTTCAGTGACATAAACAATAATGGAATAATTGGTATGTAATTTTGATCGTACCACAAAGTAAAATGTTTTCATGTGAAAATAAATATGTGAAGATTAAACTTTAGTTTTAAGGTCGTGTTCTTAAGTGTAATAATCTTGTTTTCCAAATGTTGCTCTTCCTCATGGCATAGAAGCGTTTCGTTGCTGTTGCTGTTTTTTATTTCCTTTCCCCAGCTACAATATGTTTTCACAAGTGCTCTGATGAAAACCGGTTTTGGTGACCTTTTCTACTGTTTACATTTTATTTCATTGGACAGAGAGAACAGAAGGGTCCTCATGGACTCTGTCACCCTTCTGCAGTCATCTGTGGTTTCTCTCTTAGGTGTACACCATGAGGGAAGCTTTCTCAGAATTCTCCCCAATCCTGTGTGTGTGTGTGTGTGTGTGTGTGTGTGTGTAAACCTCTCTCCCTCTCTAGCATATATAGGGCACATGTTGATAGGTAAATTATATATAGGTAGATGTTTTTCAAAGCATTATAGTTTTTTAAATTATTTTATTTAACTTTATTTATTTATTTATTTTAATTTGACCAGAGAGGGACAGAATGAGAGAGAGAGGGAAAGTGAAAAAGCAAGCCGCCAGGTCTGGGACTCAAACTGTAGTCAGCCATGTGGGAGTCCAGTGCCCTTTATTTATTTTAATTTGACCAGAGAGGGACAGAATGAGAGAGAGAGAGGGAATGTGAGAAAGCAAACCACCCGGTCCAGGCCTCAAGCTGCAGTTGGTCATGTGGAGTCCAGTGTCTTTAAACACCATGCCACCTGTTGGCTCAGCATTACAGTTTTTTTTTTTTTTGAGAGGTTTTTCACTATAGGGTGCATGCACTCGCCAGACAGACAGAGAGAGACAGAGAGACAGAAAGCGAGAAATCACCCCCCAGAGGGGAATCCCTTCTCCTCCATTCTCCTCTCGGGATCTTGGGCACGCACACACACGCGCCCGTAGCGGGGTTTTAAGCCACCGAGTCCGGGACGCGAACCGCGGTCGACTATGTGGGAGTCCAGCGACATAGCCATTATGCTAACTGCTGGTTCCCAGCATTACAGTTTTGAGCAGGTTGCCTACTCATGACTTATGACTCACTGAGTTGAGTGCCTTACTGAATTTTATCTAACTAATCTTCACATTTGTTTTCAGAACTTTAAGAACAAAGAGAAAATTAAAAGACAAGATAAAAGGAAAGTGCTATGAGCAGTAGACTTTAGCTAGAGTTCCAGTATGAAATGCTTTTGCATTGATCTATCTCAGACCAGTCCATTTTTAATCTAATCAAAAGTCTGAGGTTGGTAGGGATCGGTAGAGATGCAGTCCTGAGTACAATCAAGGTTAAAAAAAAAACCAACTAAACAAACCTCTTCAATGACTGCTGATGGAATGAAAGTACTTATTGCTTAAAAAAATACACTATAGCATGCCACATTATAAAAATGAGAGTTTAAACTCAATAATTACCAATTATATGATCAAAAGGAAATTTCTGTGTCTTTGATGCAATCATTTTACTTATGATAAAGGTAAATTAATTTATATTATAGAAGCAGCAGAAGGCTTATTATCTGGATTAAATTAGTGATGGGTATCGAGAACTAAGCATGGCTCTTGGCATCTAGGTCCTCCATAAATGGTAATATTTTAGTTACTATTGCTGTCACTGAACATAAAATTATCATTATACTTAGAAAGGCATATGTAGATCTTCAATAAATTATACTGTTTTAGTTACTATTGTTATTCCTAATTATAATATTATTGTCATTGCAATAGAAAGGGGTGGGACATAATCAAAACTCATGATGAGATGGGTCTGATGTAATTTACACAACATTTTAGAAAATGTCACTTCCTAAAGTGCTGGGTTGAAATGTGTAAATCCATACCAACTTAATGCATAAATCCTAAGAACTACTCCTGAAACTTGGTGGTAGCTTAAACAGGCCTAAATTCTATCCCAGAAAGTGTAGTATACAAAGGCACAATAATCACTGAGAGTCAAATCTTTTCCTTGACTGTTTATAGATTACTTACCCTTTAAAGATAGAGAAAAAGAAAAAAAAATGCATTAGTCAGCCATTATAAGTTTTATAAATTAAGGAGTGCAACTTTCACATAAAGTTTTCCTTTATTTTTTCCCCACCGTTCACTAGGGTCATTCTCTCCCTTCTAGATAATATGTGCTGTGTAAGATTTAAGCAAACACTGCTTATAAGAATGAACTGATGGAAAAAATATTCTTCCTTGTCTATGAGCAAATATTAAGTATAGAGGAATATGGTGCCTAGGGCAAGTATACTAGGAAGCAATATTCTCACTAGGAAAACAATATCTTCTCTATATGAATCTGTACTAGAGAACAACAACAAAACAAGAAAAAAACCATTAATATGTTAACATTAATATGTTAGAGCACCATACACAATTGAAACATAAAATTACTGATATAATAGCTTCTCGGTGAAACAAATTCTTGATTTATTTTAAATACTCAGTTTTGCTCCTATTAAAAACCCAGTTAGGAGAAACAGCAATTTTAATTTTAAGGATTAGAAAACTCCTACATTTCAGTGTTAAAAAGAGTTTTCTGGGCCAGCCAGTATTGCAGAGGTAGCACAACAATCTGCAACGCTGGGCCCATATGGGATGGACTTCATATCCCAAGATCTCCTTATGCATACTAGACCCATGTGTGTGTGCTACAAAAAGAAAAGAAAAAGAAAAAAATGCTTTCCTTGGGTCATCTGGTGGTGTAGTGGCTAAGGAGCTGGATCCCTCATGGCCAACTGTATGGTTCAAGTCCCAGACCTAGTTGCTTGAATAACACACTGGGCATGTGTGTGTGTGTCCAAAATCTTGAAAGGAGGGAAAAAATGGAGGAGAAGGGATTATAGTGTGACCATCCTCTATGGGGTGCTTTCTCCATCCTCCATCACCACTCCCTGCCCCCATCTCTAGCAAGCACATGTGCTCTTTGGCAAATTGAAAAAAAGAAGGAAGGAGAGAGAAAGAAAGAAAAAAAGAAAGAAAGAGGAAGAAAGAGAGAGAAAGAAGAAAGAAAGAGAAAGAGAGAAAAAGTGCTTTTTTTTTTTTTAGAAACAGTATTAGGTAATATTTCGGATCTTTATTTTTTTTCTTTTCCTTCCTTATTTTTTATTTTATTTGTGTGTGTGTGTGTGTGTGTGTGTGTGTGTGTGTGTGTGTATGAAATAAGAAACTTGAAACTCTAGTTTAATTTCCTTCTCTCTTTTTTTATTTTAGTGATTCATTAAATCCTGAATTATAGGATCCTTTTATATGGGCCACCATATTTCAGTTTGTTTGTGTGAATCATAATAAATTTTGCACCAAGCTTATCCTAAGTAGCTTGCATGCAATGTCTTACCACTATAAAATACTACATTGACAGACTGAGTATCCTATTACTATAAGACAATACATTCACAGACTGATAATGATATTTACATTTAAGTTTTGATTCCATAGTGTCTCCTAGGGTCATTACTGAACAATACTAGAGAGCGTTATGTTCAGACTCATTCCCTAGTTATGAGAGATCTGTTATTTGGTAGCTACAAGTAGCACATGCTTCTGATTCACCAAAATAAATACCTGTAACATACTACTATTCTATTTTTTTCATCTTCAAAAGCACAAATTGGGAGCAGCAGTCGGCATAATGGCTATGTCACTGGACTTCCATGTAATCAACTGCAGTTTGCGTCCCAGACCCAGTGGCTTAAAACTAATGCCAGGCATGTATGCATGTGTGCCCAAGATCCTAAGAGGAGAGTAGAGGAGAAGGGATTGTGGCGTGGCCATCCCCCCTTGGGGGGTGATTTCTTACTTTCTGTCTCTCTGTCTCTATCTGCCTGGCGAGCACGTGCACCCTATGGCAAAAACCTCTCCAAATAAATAAATAAATAAATAAATAAATAAATAAATAAATAAAT